CACACACACACACACACACACACACACACACACACACACACACACACACACACACACACACACACAGAGGATGATTTCCTTTCATCTGATGTAAACTCCAAAGGTCTTGAGGAAAAAATAAGCAGGTCTTTGTGATCTGCGTCGTGCAGAGACAGCGGATATGAGCAGAAAGAGTTCGGTGGATTGGAGACTGCAGAGAACAAAGACGAGAGGAAATCACTTAGACTCTGAGAAGAGGCTGAGGTAAAGATGAGGAGACGAAAAGGAAAGATAGCCTCGGCACGCTGATCTGAAACATACAAAACACTGAGTGGATTCACTCTGCAGCTTCTACACTGAACCTTTAAAAGTTAGTGAGGCTGTAGGAAAAGGATATTTGCAATTCATGAAAAACTGTTTTTTTCTGTGTGAGAGGAGAAACAATGCAGGGGTCAAACCTGAGTCTGAGGGTCCACTCTTTTCTTTGGTTATATTCAGATATTTCCTGGTTTCCACATTTCCTGATCAGTGTTTTCACCATCCTTGCCTTTAGTTTTCATAATTTCACTGTTTCTCATCTAACCGAAACACAAAAAGGCCACAAATCAGTCAGTTTTATAGAAGTTAGGCTAAGATTTGGGGTGTTAGTAGCTTAGAGTCATCCTCATCACACATTTTGAGCGATCACAGATTGCACCACCAGGGGCGGTTCTAGGGGCAGGGCCACAGGGGAAATCTTCCCTGAGGTCCAGCACTAATCAAGCTTCCAGAAGTTTTCTTCTCTTCTTAAAAAGATTTGAACAATCCTGTAGAAAATATATTTCGTCTGATAAACAATGGCTTCATTTTCTCATGCTCTGTGTTTGAGAATATTACATCCATGTACAGTAACATGCATGTTAAACTGATACGGAGAATTTACTGTGCAAGACTTTTTAATAATACACGACAAGTGTTCAAACATATGTGACTGATTAAATTTATAACAAAACTGAGGATTTATGTGAATCTAGATCTGTGCACAACATGAATGCTTAAAACATGCAAGCTAAATCGACATGCATCACTTTAAGGAATGCCACTTCTTCAAGCTTTCTCAGCGAAACGTTCCCGTTCACACAAAGATTGTAACTCTTCCCATTTGTTCTGCATCACAAAGAATTCGCTCCAAACTGCCTCCTATAAAAGTCCAACAAACATTAAAGATAAATGAGAATAAACTGTAAATGTGGCTAAAGATCTAATGATGCAAAGTCTAATAAAAGACTGAACGCTCTCTTCCTCCCCCTGTTTTACCCATTAAGCCTGTTTTCTGCACAAATACAATAAAACGGGTTTTGATGAACGGTCCGCGCTGTTTTTAATTAAATAGGGGCTGCCGTGGCGCTGCAGCCATTTTTATATTTGTTCCACGAGAATCATTAATTACGCAGAGCTTTCATCTAATCACTTCATGAAGTAACTCAATTCCCCTCTGCGTTACCGAGGCACGGCGAAGACCCAGGAACCAATCAGTGTTTAGAGTTTATGAAATGACTCAGGTTTGGTTCTGTAAGTGGACCAGTTTTCATAATTCATACTTGATGGGTTTCAGTGGATCTCCTGCGAGCTCAGGTTCAGCGTGCTGAGCTAACTGCAAGTCACGCATACCTTTACTGCCTCGGACACAAAGGATGAGCTGTGAAATCAGCACCTTAATGAAGAGTTTTACAGGCAGCAGCAGACCATTTTATGCCACATTAACTGGGAGACAATAACACATATACGCTCATGCATATATGCACTCCGCTTCACGCCCAGAACCTTTTCCTTCAACACATCATCATCATCTAATCAGAACCAGCAGAAAACTTGTTCTGTGTCAGGACAGATTCAC